ATCATTTTAATACACTAATATATGCTGCTAAATATAAACTTTATATTTTGTTGTGAAGTCAGTAAAAATATTGGCAGAGCAAGTACAAATCTGAACAACCAGCTGAACAGTTAAAAATTTGTACTGTTGAGCCCTGAAATATCTTATTCTGTAAATACAGATAATGACAAGATAAAATATTATATGATATGATATGATATTAAGGCAATGATTATACAGGCCAGCCATTATCCATAGTGTCTTGTCCTACCTTCTGCCTTTGGGTTGCCCAGGACTTTGAGCACCTCGGCATTGACGGGATTTTGGCCCAGCGTGCGCATCACATCCCCACACTGACTGTAGGTGATCTTCCCATCTCCCGTACGGTCAAACAGGAGGAAGGCTTCTTTAAATTCTGCACAGATCATTACAAAAATTATTGAAACAATCCTGGGAAACAAACGGAGGACAGGAAAAGAGAAGGACAAATACATACATGATAAAAAAAGAGAAACTGAAATGAACAAGGATGACATAAGGATGGTTGATTTTAGTCAACAAGAAAAATAGGACAAGATATATTATGCCTTTCATTGTAAAGATGTAATGACAGGCCATTCCTTTAAAGAGTCTGACTTAATTTAAAGAGCCCAGTGGATCAGCACAAAGAGAAATACTGCACCAGCCATCAATATTAATGCCACTCTAGGCTATTTTCTGCGGTGTCTATTCAGGTTAGATGAGGCAAGCTAAATGACCACAGAAATCTTATCCATCCACCTTAAGTCATTATATACCTCAGTACTCAGAGAACTTTTGATCAAGTTAAAAAGCTAGTGAAATATTCAAACACACCAAATAGCTATTTAAGCAGAACTTCAGGCAAACGTATTGGCACCAAACTATACTATTATTATCTAGTGAACAGTCTACAAATACTTGATTCTACTTGTTATTTTATTATTATTATTTGCATATTAAATTGACCAATTACAGCAAAGTATAAAAACAGAATGTTATATACACATTTATAATGTGTGTATGTACAGTGGTGTGAAAAGTGTTGGCCCCCTTCTTGATTTCTTATTTTTTTGCATGTTTGTCACACATTTATATATTTAGATGTATACATGTATATATACACATATCTCTCTATTTATCCATCTATACACACACGTTTTTTTTTAGATCATCTTAAAACAGAACCCTAAACCTAATCTTCCATTATTGAATGTTTAAACTGTTAAACCACTTGTGGTTATAAATAAATGATTATTTTGACTCGAAGCCAGAGTTCGCCGAAAGAACTGAATGTAATCCGTTAGGACAGGCCCTTCCAAAAAAACTCCCATCTCTGTAATGCTTTTCCTGCTCACTGGAATGTGGCTGTTCCCTTGCCTGCCTTAAATTGTGCCTTTAACCATATATGGTATGAGAGGAAAATGAGAGAGTGAGCAGTATTATGTCAGCCTCCTTTGCTTGAACAAGCAAGAGCAACGATGAACCAAAATGGCCATTTCCCAAAGAAAGCTCATGTGACTGGTAGTAACACAGATTATAACTCCAATATTCTAGTTTCAGAGCTGATATGTAGATGTTTAACACGGCAAGACTTCGCACTCTTTTGTTAGCAGTTTCAACACTTCCTGACTCAAGACACACCCTCTACAGATATGACTGTCCATGCTACAGAAGTAACACATTAGCTGATAGGCCTACGCTACAAACATGCATTTCTACTTTTCAAACAAACCAAATTATGATTCTTGCAGTTCATATACATTAATTACTGAATGCACTTCAAATGAGGGAGGCAGGTGAGGTGCTATCAGACACACAAACAGCAGCTTGTTGTCCTTAACACCATGCAAACTAAATCACATCAGAACAGAAAAGTTTTCAATGCACTCACCGTGTATTTGCTCCAAGTTAAACTCAATCTGGAGGTGACATACAACAGTGGCAAAGGAAAACAATACAAAGGTAAGGAAAGAAAGCAGGAGGAATGCAGGGGCAGAGGAACAGATGAGCAGAATAACATGGACGGGATGAGATAAGCAGGCTGTCTAGCAAGAAATGCAGGGAAATGTAACATACAAAGTAACAGAAACATGCATCTGGACTAGACACAAACTCACCAAGAATCTGGTCCTCGCTGAAGTCAGACTGTTTGAGACAGAGCGACATTCAATGAATATGAAATGATGCACAATATCAAAGCTGTGAATCAGATGGGGTTTCTAATAACACATCTATGGTCCATAACATCCGTCTGGTTAACGTTAAGTATTTTAGGCCGCACGAAAAAGTTAGATAAGTTTTCTATCCTTGGCTAAAACTGACCAGCTAATACTGTCCACTAACTCACAGCCGTGCTACCGGGTGACAGATAGGCTAAAACACAATATTTTAATGAATTTAAGTTAGCTATCATACACTTGGGTTTCTGAAAAAGAATTTCATGAACAATTTACAAAGGTTTAGTCACTTTCTTGCGTGCTAAAAGGCGTAAAACTCGGTTAGCTAGCATGAAATAGGCTAACGACAGATTCTTAACACTAAGCGTGTAACGTTATATAGTTACCAGACCATACACTTACTAATGTTTAACGTTATTTAGAAAAGTTCTACTGAAACCTATTTTAAAATTAAAAGTTTATCAATATGCCTACCATATCTGCAGTGGCTTGTTTTCCGGGTGTGTGTTGCGGCGGGAGTGAGATGACTCGCGCTTGCGCTGCTGAGTTATGAAGGGTAGCGATATCCGACTCGTGAACGAATCATTTCTCTGACTCGAATCCTTTCAGAGAATTAGCTGAGCCGGTTTATATGAATGAACGATTCGTTCGCGGTTGTGGAGTCAAAAACTTATTGAACCGAGACCGTATTTATCGAATTTTACGTGTCTGACTCGTAATGATCCATAAACCCATAAATTAACTTATAGTAGGAGCATTTGGACAATATCGACTTACGGTATTTTAAGATATTTTCAAATCTGTAGTATAGCCTAAGTGACATTAGGTTGATTCATGGCTGCAACAGACTGAACTGGGATGCATAAAATTACAGCATTAATTTATCAAATAATTATATTAATAATTAAGTAGGCCTATTAATAATATTAAATAGAATGTGGAACCGCGGGATACGGGGATACGTCATGACGTAAAGAATCACCGAATCACTTTTTAAAAATCGATTCTTTAAAACGAACTGTTCGAAAGAACCGATTCGCGAGAATGTAGTATTCTCATTACACACAAAGAGTGACATAATTGCACAGAGACACTCCCAGCGCAGATCACTATAACATAATGATTGACTGCACATAATTGGCAAAGCGTGTGAATTCAATGCTGATGATTTTTAAGTTTGTAAAACCATGCGATTAAGCATTTGTTTGTAAAGTTCAACTGTGTACTTCAATGCTGCATTCCTAAGCACGTGGAGATGTAGGCTCTATATTCATATAAGGATAGGCTCTGTGAATTGTAGAAATAACAAATAAAATGTATAATGACAATTCATCAAATACAGGATATATAGTATACATGTTAAATTCCTTCACAAAACCCATTGTTTTTATGCTTATCGTCAATATATGATCAATTATGAATGGATTGCTCTGTTGGTTTCAACCTCGATTTGAGAATAAGGTATGTAACAAAGAAGAATATAAATTATTTAGCACATTTAAATAAAATTGAAGGTGACAGTAATGCAGCTCAGGGACCCTATTGTGAACCAGCTACATCAGTGCCCCATTTCTCAATCCTGATATAGCTCTAGTATTCTCTTAAGATTTGAGGTCTGGGTTGACACAGTTTTCTGTGTGCAATGCTGAGGTAATCAGAAACTGCATAAAAAGAGATTACGCTGATGTTTTATTCACAACTAATATTAAATTCGGATCTGGTACTTGTGTCAGTATGTTGCCATACAGAAAATATGAATTTCTATTCTTGATAAGTCCACATCAAGTTATTCATATGAAGGTTTTTGGTCCATTTTGATCCACATTCTATTTCTGCTATATTTCCCGTTACTATTTTAGTGATGCATAGAAGAGCTATTGCCATAGTAATGAAGAATAAGCAATTCTAAACGCTCTGTTGCAGGACCGTCACTTACCTCTAATGTGCTGGGGTCAAAGGGGGAATTAGAGGGGCGCAGCATCCGTGGTTTCAACTCAGGAGCTGGTTTTGGGGGTGAAGGTGTTGTGGCAGCGCAAGGAAATGGTGGTCCGTGCCTTGGTAACGTTCCCCCTGATGGAGAATTTTTAATTGACGTTTCTCGTTTTGGTGCCATCTTTAGACCTTGAAATGTGTCCTTCCTCCCTGTCCACTGCTTTGCAAAAAAATCAAGGAAAAAGCTCTGTCAGATAAATTGCATGTGTGTCCTCTGATAGTAGAAAAAGAGAGAGGAATGAATAGGAGAATCAAGCAGGTAGCAGGAATAATCTAGGATGAATTAATGCAGTGGATGTGCATGCAGTGAGAGTGGAAGAGAGTGTGTGTAGGAGTGCTGTCTCACTGAGTCTGTTTCACTCTCTCCGCTTGTATTTATATGTAGGTCACAATCGTGTTCATATGTGGGTGTTAGGGTGTTTATGTCACTGACAGACAGCAGTATCAGTATAAAAGAACCACGTCAAGACCTCTGTGTGTGTGTGTGTGTGTGTGTGTGTGTGTGTTTGTGGAAGAGCTAGATCTGCTATATGGTTATTTATAGGTATTTCTATTGTTATTCTCTTCCTTTCATCTCTGAGAAATATTTCTCTCACACTCAGTCTCTTGTCTTGGTAATTGCAACCTACCTCAATGTTTCCTTGTGCTGATTCTGTTATTATTATTATTATTATTATTATTATTATTATTATTATTTTAAATTGTATCGTTTTTTCCCCCCCACAATATTTAGATGTCTTGGTTTTGCTCAGGTATTAACTGGATGATTTAGTCTATTAGTCTAATCTCATCAATAAAGTCCATGCTTAATATTTAGAGGTATTGTGTATGTATTTTATAATGAGTATTTATGAAGTACATTATAAGGGTAAATGTAGCTTTATAAATGTAGCTGGGCAAAAGTATAATGACTCCACTTCTAATGAACAAGTTTGTCTTTCCCAGAAATTCCATTGAAGCCACTTCTTAGTGCTATTCATAATACAGACACTTTCCAGAGAACTGTGTTGTGCCCTTTTGGAATGAATTACTATTTCTGGGTGTCTGGGTCACGAGTTCACAATAAAATCACTAAATAGGAATTAGTTTCTATGCATAGTATTACTATTAACCAATCAGCACATGTTTAGGGTGTGATAGCACAAAGGCAAAGTAGTGATTGCCTATAACCACTAGATGTCAGTATTGCCTAAAATAAAATCTTAGCCAGACCACCAAAACGAAATAAAGGAGACTACTATTATAAAACTTCCTTTCCCCCCTACCTATGCCACACGTGAGTAAATAAAAATAACTCGATTATGAATAATAATTCATAGGCTAAATAAGACTATTTTGGTTCAACCTCTATCAATATTGAATTATTCAAACTGAATATTATGATTACTGATTTATGTTCAAGTGAGTAAACCTGCTCTAAATAACCTGTTCCAGTATCATTCAATCATATTTGTCATGGTGTCACTTAAATATGCATATTTTAAACCCACTAATACAGCATAGCCTATATAATATGTAAACAAACTTTTTAAATTAAACTTAAAATACGTTTTATTGACAACACATCTCTTCTAACACGTCAAATACGTCCAGATAGATTTAGTGCACTTGGTATTTTTACGAATAATCAGTGTTCCCCGCCCTTTAATAGATTTTACGTACAATCCATCGCGCGCTCAATGGGCCTTGAAATCACCGTTTATGTGTCTCGAGCATCACAACAATGGTGACACAGGACCCCCACCGCGCGACCAACGGCACACTGAATTAATTAATTAATGCACATTTTGGATATTACAAATGCTCGCCAGACCTGTTTAATTCGCAGCAAAATGTCTGTAAAGTATTTTTTGTAACAAGTGGTGACCTCACGTGTTTTCTCAGTGAAGACCTAGGCGTCAACAAAGCGAGTCTGCCGAGTGAACATCAAGTCTTTCAATCGACTGAAGAGATACATTTTTGGGCCTCACGTTTCTCTTAATCTCTGTTTATACTGTAATCTAAGCAACAACCAATTCAGTATGTTAAAATGTCCTAAACCTTCTGCTTAGTTATTTTTGTTGTTTATTTTCCGTTTGACTTACACTAAAGTTTCTGTAGTATGACATCAAAGTCATTTGACCAACTTTAGGTGAAAGGTCTCCAGAACATCTGCTTTTTTTATACAAGCGCAGAATTGATCATTCTGGTGGCTGATTTTTCCAATTGGAAAAGTAAACTTTCTATTTTGCCTTCCTCTTTTCAGGCCTTTGATGAAAAGAAATTGAATTATGCTGAACTAGGCAAAGGGAATCAATTGTTCCTCAGAGGTTTCCCCAGAATGTGTAATAGAATTATAGCAACTGCCCCACCTAATGTCTCACAGAATCCCCGGACCATGCCAAATCATCAAACCACCTGATTTATTTTTAATGGCATTACACCCCTTACTCTGTAGTGTCATGGTAATATCTGTGGCTCCTCCAGCTGCCTCTATATCACATTAGCCAAGCTTAATATTGACTGTGTAGGGCTCGCGAAACAATAAGCCTAGAAGACAGGCAGCTTAGAGGCAGACAGCCTTTCGGAAAGCCCTGCAGTTGGCTGGAGGGGTGTTAACTAAAGCACTGAAGTTGCTTTTGCCTTGGAGGAGCAGTTCAATCAATGGGATGCTTAACGCAGGGGTACCCACACAGACCCGCGGCTTTCAGATCCAGGCATCCCTCAACTAGTCCGAGCTGAGGAGAAACCATGAAACCTGATGCAACTTGATTCCTTTTATTTTGTCTCTCTGTCTTTCATGCAGCAAACAAACAATCACTTCTTGTCTCATTTAATCAGAAGCCGTAGTGTTTTCCAGCTGGCATCTGTTTTTCTGCATCAAAATGTCTGTATAAGTGGAAGAATACTTCAAAAACGAATACATTGGGCTGATTTAAATATCAGCTCATTGGCATTGCACCAATGCATATTGCGTTTTCTATCGATGCTGTGGTAAAAGAGCTGCATTTGGGGATATTCAGAATTATTTGTATTTTATTTGTGTTAATATTTTTGAGAACAATATTTAATTTGATAAAAATGAAATCAGACCACTTATCACCTTTGTGTTTGTCATATTGCCGTAAACCACTTTGGGAATCAGACTATTCCACTTGTGGGCTACATGCACCTGATCACACACAATCTGTGGCCCCCTGCCAAACACTCCGAAATCTTTTAATTTGTTGAAATGAAACCCTGCAAAGCTGCGCACTCATGTCGTTAATTACGAAACGCCAGTTGCAGTTGGGTTTATGACACTTATGAATCTTCTAATGATTGTGTTTGTTGGAGAAGCTAGAAGAAGGAATGGGCAAAATCTGCCTATTGTGTTTGGGCATACTGATTATGGCCTTTGATTAGTGCATGGGTGCAATCTATTCAACTTCTCTCACTCCCTCCCATCCTCCCCTCCCTCTATCCTTCCCATGCTACAGCCCCTTGGGGTATGCCCACGTCCCAAAGGACAGCCAGCAAAGCAGATGGAGCCCCCCTCCCCCTCTCCCTCGTCTCTCACAGCTCACCCCAACAGGGTTGGGGTTCAGGAAAAGGATGG